GATGAAATGATTTATTATATATTTACATGAACTGTGTAAAAGTTTTAGTAATTAGTACCGTCTCTGATCTCTATATCTATGGTCACAGATCTCGTTTATACGAATTGTGGCAATCTGTAATTAGTACGGCCTCCTGTTTCTTTAGTAATTAGTACAACCTCCTGTTTCCTTACATACAGAGAGAAAAATAGCAACTATTTCGAAGTCCTTGTATACTATATATATGAATCCATTTTATGAAGTCCTCTAAAGAATTAAGAGCATGAAGAGTAGTTGTGATGAATAACTACTTAACCATATCAAATGTCATTGAAATGTTGAACTTAATCGCACACTTTTGTTGAAATTCTTATTATAGTCATATTAATGACTAGTAATAAAAATTTTGGAAGCAGACGATCGTTGTTGACAGATGCACACTTATTTGGTACAATAAGTTGAGACAAAATACATTTAAGATAATGAGTCTGACAGTCTCTCATCGCCATAGCATCCAGTTGGAATCAAAATTTTGATTGTGGAGTTCACTCCTTTTGAAAGATGACCATTAAGAAAGAATGATTGGATAGCCACAATAAAATCAAGACCAACAGTTGGCCAACCTTATGAAAAACATTTCCTTTAGTATTGAAACTTTATTAAATAGATAACAAAAACAAATAAACTCCCTTTTTTCTAACATCTTACTTTTTTTTTACCCATCTAGTCATATTATTAAAAATGAGTTCGGATACAAAAGGATTAGCCAGAAGATAAAGGCACAAGCCGGCTATGAAAATAAAAACGATGTCGGAGCCAAAGGTGAAAACAAGTCCAAACAAAAGGACTTTACAACCGAAAGACCAAATTACAACTAGAAAATTTGCTAATCCGAAACAAAACCGCCAAAGAACCAATTCCAACACTAAATGGATCAAAGAGCCACCCAATCTCTAACCTCAAAGACCTTGAACCACTGCTTGCTTCCATACGAAGACAAATCGGCAGGGAAAGGCGTGACAAAGGAGCTGCAAATGCACCCGAAGCCAAGTCACCTAAGCTCAGAGCAAAAACTAAGCCTAATAAAAATGACAGAGACAACGCAACTAAGAAGAAAAGGTCCACCAACAATAACAGAATAATACCCAATCAAATTTAGGAATCTTCTACTAATATTCAATCCAATACCAAACTCTATAACTTCACCTAGGAGAGAGAAAATCATCAAGGGTAAGCTGCCGATATACATCGTCGATAGAAGAGTTATTCTAACATCTAACTTATAAACTCCCTTTTGTCTTGATAAATCAAATAATGTTTATTACTAGTATAAAATATATAGAA